ACAAATTTGAACTCGTGGTAAAATACCTTCTATTGCCACAAACTATTTCGTCGCTAAATAACAATACTTTCGTAGCAAGTAACAATCCCAATATAGGAATTAATCGTGACTAATTCAATCATTTTGTAACAAAAATATTTATCGTGGTAAAATAGGTCTTTTCCCACGAAATTTATTCGTGGCTATAAATTTAATTGCCCACGAATATATGTCGTGACAAATACCCAAAATAGGCCACGGAATTTATCCGTGGCTATTTTATTATTAATAAAATAAAATTTAATTTAATAGCCAAAAATATATATTGTGTCAAATACCAAAAATAGGCCACATATTTATCGTGACACGATAAGAATTTGTGGCAAACCTGTAAATTATTAACATTATAAACAAAAGAAATAATATATAAAAAAAAAAAAAATTATCACATCAACACGATTATGCAAACAAATAAATACTTGATATTGCATAAGTTACACCAACCAAAAAATATATTATTTACAACATAAATAATAAAGCTCATCGTAAAAAAAATGAATCTTAACGTCTAAAACAATTTCAACTCCAATAATTTGGACCAAAGCAAGCTATTATCTTAAATAAAATGTTTCAAGATCTTAGACAAAAATGAGTTATAAATTCCTAAACAAAGGGTTCAAAGACGTAGACATACACTACTTAAACCATCTTAAACAAAAAGAGCTTCAAGTCTTGTAGCATGAGCTCATCCAAAAATCTACAAAACAAATAATGAATAAATATAATTAGTGCCTAAGTCAAAAAAATAAAAAAAAATGAATCCAAGAAAAAGTTATGCTACTACAAAATTCATTTAGGATTCCGAATACTTTTTTCAAAGAGAAATGAAGAAAAGTTGGTAGAATTTGAGAGAACTAAATTAATAAAATCAAATACTTAAGTAGATACTAATTCTTCATATATTTCTTTATTTTTCCGTCTTGATATTTCCATGTAGGTTTTTGCCTACTAAGATGAACAAGAGGATGTAGGTATAATAAATCACTGCACAAAAATTGAGCCATAGTGTCTCATGTTCTCCCATAAAACTCTTCTTTCCACCACTGTGTTTAAGGCATATACAGAAAATGTCCTAGTATTGGTATAAAAATGAATTCATTTTCGTCCATGAAAAGAAAACATGCTTCTTGCATTCATAGCCAATCACAAAATAAATCATGGACCTTTTGTGACTTTGCATCCTATTAATGAAACTCAAAACAAAAAAGAGTGGCCTGAAATTATATCATGTATAATATAACAAGCAAAACAAGGTTTTACATTTAAGGAGATCAAACCTATGTCTGTCAAAGAATATGACATTACAAAAAAAATTGAAAAAATGTCACTCATGTGTATATTTTTCAAAGTAACTTCGCCAATGTACTTTCCTCAACTTGCATTACGCCTTAGACAGTCCATCCAACTATTAAACAAATTAAAGAAAGCGAAATTAAAGCTATTGTACATCCTTTAGGATAAGGACTTTTATATTATTCTAAATCAATTTCATATAATCACAATAAAAAAACAGGATAAAACATTTTATTTCTTGTATCTTATAAGAACTATCTGTGTTTGATTTTTCTTAGAACTTTTTTTTTTTTATAAGTGATTTTTCTAAGAATTTTGAATGTTTTGTCACGACTTATGGAGACAGTTACAAGTACATGTAATGTTTAAATTCTATCACGACTTATGGAGTGTGTGTATATATAGAGAGATTTTGGCTTTACAACATGATTAAATTTAATTTTATATCTATCAGCTTCTGTAGCATGTGATCGACCATAAGACAGTTACCTCATTCTACATTAAAATGCGATAAATGATAACCAAACTCCATCCACAACTATTTCCCAACCTCCATTTATGCACAACAATAAAAAATAAAAATAAAAAAATGGTCACTTAAGGCACGTGACCCCCTATACACCGCAAAATTGGTCACTTAAAGGCATGTGACCCATAGTTGTCAAAGGCGCCGGAGGCGCAAGGCGCCTCCAGGCGCCAGGGTAGTGCCTTGAGTGTACTCAAGGCGGTTGGGTTATATAAGGCGTGCGCCTTTAGGAGAAAGGCGCCAGGCTACAGGCGCTAGAAAGGCGCGCCCGCATGAAACTGTTGTTTTTAACTTCTTTTCCTTATTTTTTTTGGTTTTGTTTGTGACTCTGTATTGTTATATTATTTGTATTGTATTATTTTATTACTTAATTAAGTAGAAAGCTCAAAGCCAAAGCCTATTGCAAGTTTGCAACATAAAAAACAAAAAAAAAAAAAAATAGAAGCAAAGGAAAGAAGAAAACAGATTGACAGAGGCAGCGAAGTACTCACTCGGGACTCTCGAATCTGCATCGGCTCTCTCTAGGTTAGTTCTTCTTCTTCTCTCCTTCTCTTCTTCTTCTCTCCTCCTTCTCTTCTTGGATCTGCTGGATCGGTGATTCGGTCAGTTTTTTTTTTTTTTTCTTCTTTTCTTCTTCTTTTTCTTTTCTTCTTCTTTTCTTCTCTCGAGTCTGGGCCCTGGGGCCTCTTGGCTCTTTCTTGCCAGATATTTATGTCATTTATTTCTATTTTTCTTCTTTTTATTTTTTTATTATTTATTTTTTTTCCTCCAGTTTTATTCTTCTTTTTCTTCTTTTCTTCTTCTTCTCTCGAGTCTCGGCTCTCTCCTGGCATATTTGTTTTTTTCTTTTTTTTTTTCTTTTTATTTTTTCTATTTATTTTTTCTTTCTCCAGTTTTTTTTTTTTTTTTTTTTTTTTTTTTCCTTCTCTTGAGTCTCGGCTCTCTCCTGGTAGATTTTTTTTTTTTTTTCTTCTTTTTATTATTATTATTATTTTTTCTTTCTCCAGTTTTTTTTTTTTTTCTTCTTCTTTTTTATTTATTTATTTGTGTGAGGTACTTTATATTTACCTGATTTATTTGTGTGAATAGTTGTATTTGTTCCATTCTAACATGTTGTTGGTTTGAGGAAATGCATTTCCATCTAATTTTGTTAAAATGAAATAATTAGTTAAGTGTACTCTAATTTTGTAAAATCTTAGTATACATTGTTGGATCGAAATTTTTGGCAGCTTCAACTTTTGTGATAATTAATATTCTCGAGTATTAAGGACCATTATGTACAAAGAAGAATCGAAGATAAAAAGTGCTTTGCATATATACCACTTTCTTAAGGTAATGATTGAATTAAATCCATGAAGAGCTGAAATTGCTGAATAGAAAGTAACTAATATTTTTGGTGAGGCCAGTAATCATGTGTCACGACTGCTTTTTCTCCAAATTCTTTTTCTCTTCACTAAATTATACTTAAGCTCGGTGAAAATGGAAACATGTAAATTATGGTGTATACGGAATCATAATCTCCTTAAAAAAAATTTAAATGTATACATGCAAAGTGATCATAACTCATAAGATGTGTTGATTAACTGTGGAATCAAAAAGCACAATCAATCTCAACATGGAAGTTTGGAACAAAGAGAGAATGAAAGGAAAGAAGGCACCCAAGCGAAAGTGATTGCTCTTGCCAATGAAGCTGTCACATTGTCAATACTTAATACATTACCTTACCCACCCAAAAAAACAAATGAAAAGTCAATAAATTATTCAATATCCGGATTTGCACATTTAGAGTTTGCCATTTAATAATAATAATAAAATCATAGCATGCATTCAATTTGAGCTAGTGACCAAATTCTAATGAGACCTTAAAGAATAATATTCTGTTTTTTGCATTCTGCCAAAGCTTTGTATTTATTTTTTTAAATTGAAATGTTAATATTGCTAACTGCTTTGAAGCTCTGTATTTATTTATTTATTTATTTATTTATTTGCCAGAGTTGTTGCAGACACTGATTACATGATGCTATTATTTTGTTATTTTGAATTTGATTGTAATTTGTACTTTAAAAGATGCCTAGTGATGGTTCAAGAAAGGATCCGGCATGGAATTACTCACATTTGGAGAATCCGAAAGATACAAATGCCGTCACTTGTAACTTTTGTGCAAAAGTTACAAAAGGAGGTATTTTTCGGGCTAAACAACACTTAGCTGGAGGGTATAGAAATGTGAGTGCATGCCCAAGATGCCCATCTAGTGTTAGAGAAGAAATCAAAGAGTACATGAGTAAGAAAAAGGAAGAAAAAGATCAATGAATTTGTTACCTAGTGATGAAATTAATTTCATTGATGAAGAGGATGAGGATGACGTTATGAAAGTTAACAATCGAGGAAAAAGGGTAGCCAGTGCAGGTAGTGGCAGTGCTAGTGTCAATTCCTCAAAGATGCAAAAGCAAAAGGGACCGATTGATTTATATTTCACTCCCAGACCGGAAATTGTGGTACAAAAAAGAAAGGAAGGGGGAAAACAAACAGCCATTAATGATGCATGCAAGAAAGAGTTGAGAGGAAGAGTGTGTGCTGCTTTTGCAAGGTGGATGTATGATGCAGGAATTGCATTCAATGCTGTTAAGTATGATAGCTTTGCCGAGGTTGTTGAAGCAATTGGACAATATGGTCCTGGCATGAAACCACCTAGTTATCATAAGGTAAGAGTTCCTTTGCTTAGGAAGGAATTGGATAATACCAATGCTTTGATGAATGACCATAGAGAGGAGTGGTCAAAATTTGGATGTTCATTAATGGCAGATGGGTGGACAGACAAGAGAGGGAGAACATTGCTTAATTTCCTAGTAAATAGTCCAAGGGGAACCATGTTTATTGAGTCAATAGATACTTCTTCTTTTTCAAAGGATGGTGACAAGATGTTTGACTTACTTAATAAATTTGTGAACCGCATTAGAGCAGCAAATGTCGTCTAAATCGTCACAGATAGTGAATCAAGCAATAAGTATGCCGGTAAGAATGTTCAATGTTTATAACTTTTAGAGTTTACATTCTTTACAAATATATAATTTAAATCAATTTTGATTTACTCATTCTCTTTATATCATTTTTTCTTTTTTCCGTTTGGTTTCAAATAGGGAGGATGTTAGAGAAAGAACACCCACATTTGTATTGGACCCCATGTGCTGCTCATTGCTTAGACTTAATGTTGGAAGACATTGGGAAAATACCATCCATCTCTAGAACAATGCAGAGGGCAGTGGAGTTGAATAGTTATATTTATACGCGTCCAAAGTTGTTGAACATTATGAGGAACTTTACTCACAAAAAGGAGTTGCTTAGGCCTGCTAAGACTCGATTTGCTACATGTTTCATCACATTATCAAGTATTCACAAGCAAAATAATAACTTGATAAAGATGTTTACTTCAGAAGAATGGAATCGTAGTAAATGGGCGAAAGAGGAAGCCGGTAAAAGAGTTGCTTCTTATGTTTTGATGCCTTCCTTTTGGAACAACATTGTCTTTAGCCTTAAGGTTTCCGGTCCTCTTATTCCGGTTTTGAGATTAGTTGATGGCGAGAGAAAGCCTCCTATGGGATACATTTTTGCGGCTATGGATATGGCTAAAGAAGCCATTGCAAAATCATTTGGGGGAGTAGAAGATAAATACTCAGATATTTTTGAAATAATTGATAAGAGATGGAATGTTCAACTTCATCGCCCTTTGCATGCAGCAGGTTATTATTTGAACCCAGAATACTTTTATTCAAATCCGAAAATTGAAGAAGATGAAGAGATTGCAAAGGGTTTGTATGCATGCATTGCAAGGTTAGTCCCGGATGTCAAAGACCAAGACAAAATTACTGAGGAGCTATCCTTATATTCTAAAGCTGAGGGCCTCTTTGGTAATCCCTTTGCTATTAGACAGAGAAGTACACAAGGACCAGGTAAAGTGGTAAAGTATATTAAGTTAGCATAGCTAAGTGTTAAAATTATTTTGACAATAGAGTCGATAGAAAGATGAAGCTAAAGTTATTAAACATCATTATTAATTTTTTTTTAATAGCTAATTGGTGGGAAGCTTATGGCAAGTCAACAAAACTTTTCCAAAAGTTTGCTATAAAGGTTTTAAGCCTTACTTGCAGTTCTTCTGGTTGTGAATGAAATTGGAGCGTGTTTGAGCATGTAAGTATATACTATCTACTAACTAGGTTTGTAATTTAATTGTTGAAAGTTAAAATTTTAATTTTTTATACTTATTAGTTAAAGTTGAATTTATTGCAGCTTCATAACAAGAAAAGAAATAGACTCGCTCAAACAACTTTGAATGATTTAGTGTTCATCAAATATAATAGAGCATTGAGGCATCGATATAATATGCGTGACACTCTTGATCCCATTTTACTCGATGACATTGATGAGAGCAACGAGTGGTTGACGGGGAGGATGGATGATTCTGATGCAGAACATGATCTAGTCTATGAAGATGATTCCTTGACATGGGGTGATGTTGCTAATTTTGCTGGTATTGGAGAGGCAAGCAAGCCGCAACGGTCTACTAGATCAAAATCTAGTTCTAGTTCACGGTTACCAACAAAGGGAGCAGAAAGTTCTTCAGTTCGACTTGTGGATGAGGATGAGAATGATTCAGATGAGATAGAAGAGGATCCTGAGAATTATGAATCATTTAGTGACGATCAAAATGATGTTATGCTTATTGATGACGAGGCTGATATTTAGATTCATTGGTGTTGTCTTCTTAGGAAGAAATGATGTTTATATTTGTTTTAGTTTTATCTTATATTTCTCCTTAGTTAACTTTTGCATCTTTATGTTAATATGTTTGATTATTCACTGTTTTGAACTCAAGTACTTGATTTACTTAGTTTTGGCATCTTTATGTTGAATATTTAACTTAAGTAATTCATTTAGTTGACTTTTACATCTTTATATATACTATTGCATCTTTAATACTTTATTGAGTGGGTTTTGTTTTTTTTTTTTTTCCAACGTGCGCCTTGCTTTAGTCGGGCACGCGTCTCGCCTTGCGCCTTGCGCCTCAGGCTCCAAGAGGCATTTGCGCTTTTGTGCGCCTTGAGCCTTTAACAACTATGACGTGACTCCCTTGAGCATGAGTAAAAAGCATTAAAAATGTACAATGATAAAATTGATTAATGCTATATTCAATTTCATGATTTGCCCTAATATTTTAGAGTATTGTATGTTAAGTTTATTGTGATATGCTCTCAGTTTCGTTTCTCTAGATTTGGTTATGGATTACTAAATTTTATTGCCTTGTTTTGGTTCCATATTTGCATTAAATTAGTTAAAGAATTGTTAGAATTTAAATGAAGAGTTGTGTTGGAAAATGAAATCAAAAATGTTGATTTTAGAACTGAAATCTCTATACTTAGAACTTTTATCTTTTAAATTAAGTTTTAGATATGAAAGTACAATTGTTACCTAAACACAATGCTGCAACTAAACATTTATTCCTCTTTCAATTCACCATTACTTTCCCGACGCCAAGTAATTCTAAATAAACAATTTGATAAATAAATTTTGAGACCAAATCATTGAAAAATAAAAAGGATGTGGAACAATGATATAACTGTTTAACAAATACATGATAAGACTTGTCTCATGTCTCCACACCAATTCTTCAGGAGTTAACTATTTGACTTGAAATAGAATTTGGATACATTCGACTTCATCAAATCACTCATTATTTAATTAAATTTGACTCAATATGAATTCACCCGAAACAATGAATCAACAAAATAAAAAATAAAAAATTGGTCCTGAAATTAGTGTCAATTATGCAAAAGTAATGCAAAAAGTCGAATCTTTCATATAAATTATCCTTCATGTTTCCTTAATGAGGAAGGGTAGTTTTAAATTATATAATTGATGTTGATGTAACTCATACTAGTTCTTATGAAATTCATCTCTTCTATTTTTATTTAAATATAGATTTATATTTTAGATGTTTTATGCTTTGTGTAAGATTTAATTTAATAAAATGTCACAGGCAATCGACTTTGATTTCAGTAAAATCTTGGATTTTGTTGATATATATAAACATAAAGATAAACATAGCACTGGAAGAGTACAAAAATGTACAAGAACAGAGTAGTAGTTGAGTATTTAGTGAGTAAACAAATTAATTAATTAAGCAAAGAAGGTTAACAGAAAAGATGGAAGGCACAGATAAGATACTCCAAGCAAGCACTGGGTATGCTCCTAACAAATTAAGAAGTTGTACGAGAAATCTGCAACTTTTGACTTGAAGTAATAATTTAAAAACCATGGCCAGCACTTGAAGTAATAATTTAAAAGAAAGGTTTCTTAATAATCTTTCAGCCGATTTTTTGTCCCATGAATTCTTCCATGTGAGGTAGTAAAATAATCAAAATGCTTTTCTCTCTAAAAGTTGAATTCAAGCATTTCTTTATGGTTTGCTTATTTAAAATTAGAATTTTGAATCCACGTCTTGTACAAAGACTATTTTGTTATGTAATGTATAAATATATACATGTTCATTAACTTTCACGTAGATGGTTCAGCATGCAATTATTTCAAAATTTTGTCATATCTTCTACTATAGATCGAATCATCTAGTAATTAAGATACAAAAATTTATAATTTAATTGAGTTATAATTGTAAATAATAAAATAGTTTATTTTAAAAATTCACTTTTCATTTAATTAAAATCAAGGTCAAGTATCTTGTCATGATATAAATAAATGGACAAAATAATTGCAGTCAAGAATTACTTCATGCCCAAAATGATCTCAACCATCTGATTAAATGAAATAGCCCAATGAGAAGACGTGGTGGAGCTTGATTCTTGGCAAGACTAAGAGATAATATTGCGACTCTGCTAATGCAACAGATGACAGAACTAGGAACACAACCTAAAACCACCAGTGCAAGCCCATCAATAGTTTAAGACTATCTAAGAAGTGTCCATTAAGATAAAAACTGAAAACCCTTATCCCAATTTCATAATAAACATCAAAGACTAACTCCAATTTCATAAATAAATCAGAAAAATTGAAAACCCTAACCTGTTTTTTAACTCCTCTGGCTCAGCTCACCCCAAAATTGCATCAGATGAGTCCTGTATTTCTCAAATGAAACAAATCACGAATCAATTCACATTGATACACAAAAACAAATAGATATATATATGCAAAAACATATGTGCAAAAAATGTAAGAGAAAAACTTGTGAAAAAGTTTAGAATGCTAGCCCTATAGATAGATGGAGACTGATGAAATGGTTAGATATAAGGATGAAAAACACATAGAAAGGCGGCTGTAACAAGGTACCTTCGTCCATGCTCCACTCGCTGCTCACTTCGTCACCCCGAAACGCCAATAGAAAGAATTGATTAAGTGGACATGGCCCCATAAAGAGAGGCAAGGTCGTCGTTTCCATTTTTTCACCAGAAAAGGACCCCATACCTGACCAGCCCCATGATCTCCATTAACGGGGTCATCATCAGAAGTTTTCAACGAGATCAAAAATGGATCCCTATTTTTGACGTGAATAGGAGCTTTTTTGGAACGAATTAAATAGGAACGAATAGGAGACCTCTCTCATAGGACGCAGGAGTCCCTATCCGATCGATACAATTGATGTGCTTCGTATATCGCTTGAGGGCTTTTTTATTTTTTTTTTAGGAATTATTACATATAAATGAACTTAGTGGCCCATATTTACCCATACATTGAGTCAAAGTCAATAATTTCTCTAAAATATGTTTAACCTAAAAACTGAGGTGGCACATGAAAAAATACTGTTTCATATTTCTGTTGCCTAAAATACCCTTCTTCCTATTTTATATGCTGCCTAAAATGCCTTTTTACGAAGGTACCACTTTTTTTTCAAAAGTACCACATTTTTGGATTGAAGGTATCACTTTTTGGCGTCTAGGTACCATATTTTCTAAACACTCGTTTAGCTAGATTGGAAAATATTTTGTGTTATTCATGGCTTTAATGGAGCTGTTTATGGATGTAATGTGCAACCTAATAAGCGATGTGGGATTTAATACCATTTTCAATTGTAAAAATAAATCCATTCTTTTGGCGTCGAGGTACCATATTTTCTAAACACTCTAGCTAGCTTGGAGAATATTTTTTGTTATTCATGGCCCTAATGGAGCTATTTATTGATCCACTGTACAACCTAATTAGCGATGTAGGGTGTAATATCATTTTCAATTGCAAAAATAAGTCCCTTTTGCAAAGGTACCACTTTTTTTCCAAAGGTACCATGTTTTTGGACTAAGGTACCACTTTTTGGTGTCCAGGTACCACGTTTTCTAAACACTCATTTAGCTAGATTGAAGAATATTTTGTGTTATTCATGGCATTAATGGAACTGTTTATGGATGTAATATGCAACCTCATTAGCGGTGTGAGGTTTAATACTATTTTCAATTGCAAAAATAAGTCCATTTTTTTCGCGTCGAAGTACTATGTTTTCTAAACACTCTAGCTAGCTTGGAAAATATTTTGTGTTATTCATGGCCCTAATGGAGCTATTTATTGATTCAATGTGCAACCTAATTAGCGGTGTGTGGTGTAATATCATTTTCAATTGCAAAAATAAGTCCCTTTTGAGAATGTACCACTTTTTTCCCAAATGTACCACGTTTTTGAACTGAAGGTACTACTTTTTGGCATCCAAGTACCATGTTTTCTAAACACTTGCTTAGCTAGATTGGAGAATATTTTGTGTTATTCATTGCGTTAATGGAGCTGTTTATGGATGTAATGTGCAACTTAATTAGCGATATGGGGTTTAATACCATTTTTAATTGCAAAAATAATTCTTTTTTTTTGGCGTCGAGGTACCATGTTTTCTAAGCACTCTAGCTAACTTTGAGAATATTTTGTGTTATTCATGGCCCTAATGGAGCTATTTATTGATCCAATGTGCAACTTAATTAGCCAACAAACTACCATTCACCTCAAGGAACCTCACTATTTCCATCTTAATCCATCAAGGCTTATAAGATGTAATTTCCTCGACTTTTGATATAATTTTTGCTGTAGAATAATTTCTTAGTATAACTTAGTTGTTAGTACTATAGCTCAATGTTCATTTGCATTTTTCCATGTTTTATATTTTGCACGGTTAGTGAAAATTTTCCAAAGGCCATTTGTTGGTAGGAATGAGTGATTTTATTATTATTATTATTTTTTTAAGTTGTTTTTTGTCTCGTAATATCAAATATATATATATATATATATATATATATATATATATATCTGGTACAAATCTGTGAATTCTTTCATAGTTGTATTAATTGGGCAATTTTTTTTTTTTTTTTTTTCGTGTTAACCATGATAGTGCTGTCTTTTTTGGGCGAATTATAAATTTTTTTTTTAATTTTGATAATTCTTTTTAAAATTATTATTATTCAAAGTTTCGAATTGTCTATTTTTATATTGTTTTTGTTCCTTATTATTATTATACAATGCCTTAATACCTTAACACAGATAATGCATGTCCATCAAATACACAAACTCTCATTAGGACCACACAAAGGAAAAGGGCCACAAAATGGTTTACCGCATAACAAAGAAACACATACTTATATTTACCCAATTAGAAGCTAGAGTAAGTGGGATAGGAGGATCTCAGAATCCAAAAAGTACTTGAAATGATGTGGGATATGGGACATTTGTAATGTTGAACAGTGTCATTTTTTTTTGCTGCTATT